CCACATCATCATCATCATCATCATCATCAACAACAACAAACCAAGCATCATTACATCATTATCATCATTACCACCAACAACATCATTATCATCATCTACAACAACAACAACAATGCCAGACAAAGCTCACAGAAATGATGACATTTTAACAAAAGGCGAACTCTAAATCAGTTTTCCACATTTTAACTCCACATTTTATAACATTGATTGAATTGAGTTTGACAACAACTACTACTACTAACATTACTACTACTACTACCATTACTACTACCACTACTACTGCTACTATTACTACCATTACTTCTACCACTACTACTACTATTACTACTACTACTACTGCTGTTACTACAACTACTACCACTGCCGCTGCTACTAAAAATCTTTTCAAAAACACAGAACATCAAACTTGCAACATCATCAACACCAACAACCACAACAGCCACAACAGCCACAAAAACGTTGTTGCAGTGGCGTCAAAACAACACCACAACGTCACACCGAACAACAACGAACAACAACAACACAACAACAACTGCAATTGCTAATTGCACACAGTTGACTAATAAACGATTTGACAAGTCTAACTTACAACGCGAACAGCTTTTCAATTGGTGACAATTGATGATCTTGTAAAAGTGTGCAAGTTATGGTAATAGTAGTACTAGGGTAGTAATAGTAATAGTAGTAGTGGTAGTAGTAGTAGTAGTGAAAGTGGTAGTAGTAGTTAAAGTAGTAGCAGTTGTAGTAGTAATATAATATTAATGAATATGATAATTACAACTAGAATACATAGAGTCAATGATAATTTGCGAATACTGCAACAAAACAACAATAACAACAACAACAATAATAATAATAATTATAATAATATAAATAAAAATAATAATAAAAAATTATTATTACTATCATAATTAATCAATTAATTATTTCGTATTTAATAGTCACAGGTGGCTGATCATTACTATGACCCCGAGCCGCTGGATATTAAAAAGCGTTCAGCAGTCAAATAATAACTTTCATCATCATCAATATTATTATTATTATTATTATTACAGATATTTATACTAATTTTATAACTATTTTAATAGTTGTAGTTGCAGTAGTAGCTGTAGTAGTAGTAGTAGTAGTAGTAGTAGTAGTAGTAGTAGCAGTAGTAGTAGTAGTAGTAGTAGTAGTAGTAGTAGTAGTAGTAGTAGTAGTAGTAGTAGTAGCAGTAGCAGTAGCAGTAGTAGTAGTAGTAGTAGTAGTAGTAGTAGTAGTAGTAGTAGTAGTAGTAGTAGTAGTAGTAGTAGCAGTAGCAGTAGCAGTAGTAGTAGTAGTAGTAGTAGTAGTAGTAGTAGTAGTAGTAGTAGCAGTAGCAGTAGCAGTAGTAGTAGTAGTAGTAGTAGTAGTAGTAGTAGTAGTAGTAGTAGTAGTAGTAGTAGTAGTAGCAGTAGCAGTAGCAGTAGTAGTAGTAGTAGTAGTAGTAGTAGTAGTAGTAGTAGTAGTAGTAGTAGTAGCAGTAACAGTAGTAGTACTTTGTAATTATCCTTATTAGTTTAATAAATTACACTATTGCTCTCAATACTGATACCATTACCATAAAAATTATTACTACTACTACTACTACTACCACTCAGCTATTGCTGCTGATGTGGTTACTTCTGCTGCTTCAGACAATGTTGCGGCTAATGTCGTTACTACAACTACTGCCACTGCGTTTACTACTATAACCACAACAAATACTATTTTCTCACGAACTGCTACTTTTAACAACAGTTATTTTTTGCTTATAATATTACTACTCGTAACAATAATAGTAGCAATTTCAACAGTAACTACACTACTACTACTACTACTACTACTACTACTACTACTACTACTACTACTACTACTACTACTACTACTACTCTTACTACTGCTACTGCTACTGCTACTACTACAGCTACTACTGCAACTACAACTACTGCTGCTTATACTACTTCTACTTCTACTACTACAACAACTACAACTTCTACTACTTTTCCTACTACTACTACTACTATTACAACGAGCAACTACTACTATTACTACTTCTCTACATATTACTAACACATTCTACATTTAAATTTACAAAAGTAACATTCTAACTCGTAATTCAATTAGTATGTAAATATGCGGTACAAATATGGCGAACTTTAATTATCGTAAAATACTTGTTTAATTATTTAATTGCAAATTATGATAATTTGCATTATCATAAAATACTAAAACATGTCGATCAAAATTTCCTCTGCCAATCACAGGCAAGCGAAGATATTTTGCTCATCCGATTGGTCAATTCAAATGATTGAAACAAATAAACTTCCCCATGCATATAAAACAATACAATATTTGTATTGTATATTGACTCTTAGTAATTTAATTAACTCTGTCGTTTATATTTGTAATATTACGTATTTATGTATATATGTATGTATGTATGTATGTATTTATATATGTATTTATATATGTATGTATGTATGTATGTATGTATGTATGTATGTATGTATGTATGTATGTATGTATGTATGTATGTATGTATGTATGTATGTATGTATGTATGTATGTATGTATGTATGTATGTATGTACGTATATGTTTGTGTTGTCATTTGTATTGTTATTTTCCTCTCTCACTTTCTCTCACTCTCTCTCTATATTATTCTCTCTCTTTTTCAATATTTAAGTATGTGTATGTATAAATGTATGTGTATATACATGTATATATATGTATATGTAATTATATAATGTAAATATGTCTGTTTGTATGTATATGTATGCATGCATGCTGTATTATGTGATATATATATATATATATATATATATATATATATATATATATATAGATAGATAATGATCGTTATTTGGTTAAAACTATTTCTAGATTTGCGAGAAACTGTTAGCCCGCCTATGATGGATGGATATAATTTTGAAAAATATAACTAAAATATAATTGTAATAATAAATAATAACAATAATAATAATAATAATTGTTAATAATAATAATAATAAATAAAAATATCAAAAATAATAACGTTGGGTGT